GAGCTTGTGGTTCTCCTGCAGGGCTTCGCCAAGCACTACAGAGGAGGAGGAAGAGTTGGAGGAGAGAGGGGCTGCGCCAAGGGAAGGGTTGCGGCTGCCCTCTTTCTCCCTCACTATATATAGGGGGAAGGGGGGAGGAGGCGCCCTAGGGTTTCCCTAGGAGAGGGGCGGCGACCACAGGGGAAACCCTAGATGGGTTTGGGCGCCCCCACCCCTAGGAAACTTTCCCCCCAAGCCGGGAGGGGTGGCTGCCCTAGGGGAGGCGCACCCACCTCTCCAGGTTACATGAGATGGGGTGGGAGGGGCGCTCAGCCACTTAGTGGGCTGATGTGCCCCCTCCCCTTGGCCCATAAGGCACCCCAACGCTTGCCGGGGCCTCCGAAAACCCTTTCGGACACGCTGGTCGTCACCCGGTACGGCCGGAACAATTCCGGACTCCAATACCCTTTGTCCAATATATCGATCTTCACCTCCGGACCATTCCGGAGTTCCTCGTCACGTTCGGATCTCATCCGGGACTCCGAATAACCTTCGATAACCACATACTATTTCCCATAACAACTCTAGCGTCACCGAACCTTAAGTGTGTAGACCCTACGGGTTCGGGAACCATGCAGACATGACCGAGACACCTCTCCGGCCAATAACCAATAGCGGGATCTGGATACCCATATTGGTTTCCACATGTGCCACGATGATCTCATCGGATTAACCACTATGTCGGGGATTCAATCAATCCCATATACAATTCCCTTTGTCCATCGGTATGTTACTTGCCCGATATTCGATCATCGGTATCCCTATACCTTGTTCAATCTCGTTACCGGCAAGTCTCTTTACTCTTTCCGTAACGCATGATCCTGTGACTAACTCCTTAGTCACATTGAGCTCATTATGATGATGCATTATCGAGTGGGCCCAGAGATACCTCTCCGTCATACGGAGTGACAAATCCCAGTCTCGATTCGTGCCAACCCAACAGACACTTTTGAAGATACCTGTAGTACACCTTTATAGCCACCCAGTTACATTGTGACGTTTGGTACACCGAAAGCATTCCTATGGTATCCGGGAGTTGCACAATCTCATGGTCTAAGGAAATGATACTTAACATTAGAAAAGCTCTTAGCAAACGAACTACACGATCTTGTGCTATGCTTAGGATTGGGTCTTGTCCATCACATCGTTCTCCTAATAATGTGATCCCGTTATCAATGACATCCAATGTCCATGGTAAGGAAACCATAACCATCTATTGATTAACGAGCTAGTCAACTAGAGGCTCACTAGGGACATGTTGTGGTCTATGTATTCACACATATATTACGGTTTCCAGTCAATTATAACATGAACAATAGACAATTATCATGAACAAGGAAATATAATAATAACCATTTTATTATTGCCTCTAGGTCATACTTCCAACACATAATGGATACTAGGAATCAAGCCCTAACAAATCGACTCGATTACATGACCAATCTCATCCATCTCCATCTACCCCCAGTATGCCTACGATGGAATTACTCACTCCCCGTGGTGAGCATCATGAGGTTGTTGATGAAGAGGAATTGTTGTTGTCGATGGCGAGGAATTGCCCCCTCCAGAGCCCCAAACGGACTCCAATTCAGGCATCTCGATGAAGAATAGGAGGTGGTAGCGGCTCTGTATCATAAAACGCGATGAAACTTTCACTTTGATTTTTTTGTTGGGAAGACGGTACTTATGGTCCTGGAGGTAGGGGAAACAGAGACACAGGTGCCCCACAAGGCAACTCGTGGCTCCGTGGTGCCCCCCCTCTAGTAGGTCTTTTTGCCAATAATTCTTACATATTCCAGAAAAATTCTTCGTAATATTTCAGCCCAATCCAAAAACTTTTGTTTCTGCGCAAAAAACAACACCATGGTAGTTCTGTTGAAAACAACGTCAGCCCGATTTAGTTTCATTCAAATCATGCAAATTAGAGTCCAAAAGAAGAGCAAACGTGTTTGGAAAAATAGATACTTTGTACTCGTATCAATGACATCATCTTCTCTTCAGGTGAAGGTTCTGAGGAGCTAGGTTTAGCAATGCGGTTGTGCTCGAAGGCCTCCCTTTGGGGTCTTGGCGTCAGTTTCCATTTGTGCTTTAGTGTGGTGAGCATTCCATCGTCCAACGTTCAACACCCTTCGAGCCGGGCCAAGGAGACGGGGGCTCATTTCGATGGTGGAGCTAGATGGCGCTGTTGTGCTGGAAGGCCAACTAATGGCGGTGGGACGACTTCTGTTGACATCTTATCTCCTTCTCGAGTTGGCCTCTTCACAGCGTCGGTTCTCGGTGCATGTTTCAGGGCTCCAGTGTCTTGATGCCAATGTGTTTTGGGCTTTGTTGCTGCTCCTGGGCACCCTTGTATCATGCCAGAGTTTTGCATTTCTTTGCGGTATTGTTTCATTAATATAAACTCCTGCGTCACCCTTTTGTCTAGAAAGTTCTCCATGAAGCAGACAAGGAGAGAGGATTGACTTTAGCATGGTGATTCCATGGCAAATCTCCATCCCAAATTTGGTGACTAACAGCACACAAGCAGATGCAACGTACCTCACGGAAGAACCTCCTTGACATCTTCAACCCGTTTCCATGATCTACTTCTCCTAACATACAACTCGACCTTGGGAAACTCCATAGGAGGCCATGTTGGTCTTCTTGTGTGGCAAGTGAACGGTGTGGCAATGTTGTTGGCTGGTTGGAGGTGTCGATTCTCATGACAAAACTACTCCAATGATTGATTTGGGTGTTGTGTGAAAAATTAGGACATAACTTGCAGTTCGTCGAAAAACTTCAAAACATTTGTGCTATGGGTGTATATGAGTTTTAAACACAATTAACTTAATATTATTTATTTCTTCTATTTATATGTGAATAACAGTTAACTTTTTCTTATAATACTAATGTTTTGCGAAGTCATCTTGAGTAGAACATACCCGCCAAAAAGAAGAGTAGAACATACACCACACTCAACTCATTTTCATGAGAATTGTCATTTCTAAGTCACTCGAGAAATAATTATACTAATTCGACCAAATTATATGCAACTTATGAGAGATACAACTACCTGTTTTACATAGAATAAAAATTACTGGCACTTATAAATAAGATTTCCTAAGTCGGCTTTGAAACAGACACGCACAGTTCTTGCAGTTTCTAAAAACTTTAGGATGCCTTGAAACTAAGATGAGAACAAGGCACAGACTTAGCCATACACATAATGCACCAAAAAAGAAAAATCAAACAACCGACCTCTTTTTGAAAAGCCAACAAAATATTTGTAGTAAAAGAAAGAGAAAAGATTACAAAAATTGTTGATCTTATTTCCTTGATCTAATGAAATTTTATGGAGAGAACATATGGACTTGCACGCTGAGAAAAAAACAACTATATATAGAAGGAAAATGAAGTACTCTCATATCTGCCGGATTGGTCTGGTCCCATCCCAGTTGACAAAAACCAGCCGCTCTGCCGCAGAAAAACAAGACCAAGCTAGGTGGGCAGCTTCCTGCGCCGGCCGGGCGGCGACAGCGAGAGGTGTGGCGCAAGCAAGCAAATGTGTATCTGGAAGCACCCAGTTTCCTGGAAAACCAGCGTCCGCCTCCCGACCGCGCCGCCTCCCCGCGGGCGGCCGGCCGCACCTCCGTCCCCCTTCTCTAGAGGCCCTACCCCGCCACCTCTCCCATGCCGTCGCCGGGATGCGGTGCCGGTGGCGGCGGCCCCTGCTTTTCCCCTCCCGGAGGTGACCTGCGCAGGGCGGCGCGTTTCTTGGTGGTGTGTTCAGGCGGTGGCGGTCCGACGCGGCAGCGGGGCAACCTGGCGCAGGCGTGGGAGGCTGGCTGCGCGGCGGCGCTGCTGTTCGCGGCGGAGCTCACGGTGGTGCGGGGTGGCGGCGCCTGCTCGGCCCAGATCTGGGCCCCTTCGGGCCCCATCTGGGCCGCGGCTGACCGGCGGCTTCTCATCGATGGCGGAGCCTTCTGGAGGTGTAGTTCGGGTGTAGGAAGGCTGGGTGGGGGCGGTGCCGTCGCCAGCTTGCTGCAGCAGGGCGTCAGCGGCTTTGCGGGCCCGAGATGGGCCCGGCCGAGCCCGGGTGGCCTGGTGTGCCACTGCGGCCGCGTCCAGTCGGCACCCGCGACGGTGCTGGAGGCATAGGCCTCCCGCACGATGGCGATGGAGGTGGCTCCCTCCGGCGCGGCTCCGGTGCTGCCCCTCCCGATTTCTGGTGCTCCTCTCTCCATCCTCTAGGCCTCATGATGGCGGTCTCAATGAGGCGGCATGGATGACCTCAAGACCGTGGTGGCGTATGCTGGTGGGTGGCTGGCTGGCTGGTTGGCTCCGGATCGGACGGATAGTGGTGGTTGGGATGCAGGAGAAATCCCTGACGGTTCTTCCGGCGCCGACGCGGTGTTGCCTGCGGGCGTCGCCTTTCCTTCCTGATGGGGATAAGCGTTGCCCATCCTCAACTCCTCTCCGCGTGCCGGCGGAAACCCTAGGACATGTCTGGGCAGCAGCGTCGTCGACGTCGCATCCCTTCTTGGATGTGCTGCTTGGTTACGCGGCGATTCGGAGCCTTGGTGTGTGGTGGGACGAATCCGGAGGGTGCAACGATGGCGGCTCATCTATGCTTTGCCGAGTTGCCGTTGTTGGCATTTTGTTCTTCTTTCTTTCTCTTTTAGGCTTGATGTGCTGTGCCCCAGCAGTTATCGTGTGACTAGTGGAAGTTGCTTTATTTATAAAGTAGGGAAACCCTTTTCGGTGAAAACCAGCGCCCGTAGCCGCTTGTTTTGCTCCGGCTCTCCGGTATATAACCCCGTCCCACTCCCACTCTTCCTAACATCAACACAAACGAGCATCAACTCACTGAGACAGTTCAATAAAATCAAATCAGCTCTGTTCAACTTCGCAAGTCCACTCCAGGATCACCAGTCAGTTTCCGCTCCAGCAGCACAGCAAAAACAAAAAGTATAGGAGAAGCGATGGCTATTGCGGCGAAGGCATCGTGGATGGTAGCCATGAGCGTGGGCACTGTGGAGGCGCTCAAGGACCAAGCGAGGCTTTGCCGCTGGAACTACGCGCTCAGGTCCATCCACCGAGCTGCCAAGGCCAAGGCCACCGTCCGTGGTGGCGTCTCGCTGGGCACCGAGCAGCTTCTGGCCTCCACGGCTGCTGTGGCGGAGAGACGGCGAGCGACGAAGGCTGAGGAAGGGCTGAGGACTGTCATGTACCTCAGCTGCCGGGGGCCAAATTAGGAGTACTAGTAGCTTAGGGGTGTTGAGTTTGTTGAAGCTTGTGCTTATGTGACAACCCCATGATCGATTGTAAATACAACACGACGATGATGATGATGAATATATATCACCCTCCTTGTCCATGTGCTTCCATGACTACTAGAACATAAATGCGCGCGTTGCCGCGCCCTGTCCCTAATGGTCAATAGAAATATGGCCAAAAAAGATGAACAAAAGTGATATTCCAGGTATAGGTGTATGCCATAAGAAGAGAAAAACCAATAGAAATGGTATTCCAAGTATAAGTATACCGACAAAATACACTGAGTATGTCAAGGATTTTTCTGTGCTCCGAAATAGTTCATTACATTTTTCCTGAATAGTTAATAATTGAAGATTTCCTTTCTGAAAATTTTCATGACTTTAGTTTTTATTTGTCAAGGGGAACATATATCCTCCATACTGGATCATGCATGCACTTTATTTTTATGAATCAGTTTTATAATGAGCAGCATTGATCAGTTTATCTGCATGTCATAGCAAGTCACACTAAAATTTCAGCACCAACACATGGAAGAGCGTGTCAAACCACATCCTTTTGGCACAAAAAGTAACAAAAAGTTTAGTGGTGCTTACACATATAGTTTCAGCTGAAAGATTATTGTCCCCTGTGACAAATAAACACACCAATTACAATTAGTAAGCATTACATACACACAAAATTTATCTAAGCATGACGAAATATATGCACATAACAACTATTTTACATTAACAATGTCTCCAAGCTCTTGATTGTGCCAATAATTTTCCAATGGAATCTTTCTGGTTGACTCAAGAAATCGGTAGACGTGCAAGCTTGAGATTTCCTCCAGTAAGCAGTGTACCTAAGTGTGCAGAGTGGATGCGTTTCCCCATTTTCAATAGGAACACCCTGCATTGAGGCACAAAAATGGAAGATCAGACAAAAAGAAGAACATGCACTTTAAGCAGATAGTGTAAAATAAATAAAGATGATGCTTTATGTCATTGTATTATTTTTAACCAATAATACTTTCAAACAAAGAAATCAAGGAGAGAATTTAAGCAATTTATTTCTATGTGCACAAAGAAGACAATACTTCTTTTTTTATTCTGAATTTCTTATCCAGTAATACTTTCAAGGAATTATAATTAAATACGTACCAAATGTCCATCTGAGCTAGGCTGTAAATGGTTTATTTTTATCCAATAATGCTTTTATGGAAAGTGGCTAGCAAGTATTCATCGGATAGTAGATGAGAGCAAATCACAATACAGAAAACTCACTATATGCTTGCAAAGTGCAAGCACAAAAGGAACGCAAATTAGGACGTGAAGTAATATAGGCCAAGCCCACCAAACAACCATATAAAAACTATACGACCAGAATATGTGGCAAAGCAACATCAGCTCCATCCATCCAGCAAGCAAACAAGCTACTCCCTCCGTTCCAAATTAATTGACTTGGATTTACCTAGATACGGATGTATATAACACTAACATGTGTCTAGATATATCCGTATCTACACAAATTTGAGTCAACTAATTCGGAACGGAGGGAGTACTTCATATGTCACCAAACGTCCGTCCATGAGAAGCAAAGTATAGTACTCCCTCCGTCCCAAAATTCTTGTCTTAAATTTGTCTAAATATGGATGTATCAAGTCACGTTTTAGTATTAAATACATCCATATCTAGACAAATCCAAGACAAAAATTTTGGGACGGAAGGAGTAGTAAACAAATTTATACCGGGGACCAAAGGAGAGAGAGGGGCGAGTCTGGAGTAATGGGGTGACGTTAACCAAACGCAAGCCATATGTAAAGCAGATGCACCTGCAAACAGGGGGCGTCGTAGGACAGCGGGAACGACTACTTTGGCCGCCGTCCGGGCAAACCCTGAAATAAATGTCAGTAGTTAAGGTGCGCTCATGACAACACAGGGGGTGGGGGGATCGCCAAACTATCTATCTGTACGCAGCAAAGGATCCGATGCAGGCAACATATATATGTACGGTTCACGGAGTAGAGGAGGCAAACGGATAGTAACGCATCCGCACTTCCATGGACGTTACTGGAGGACGACCAAGCGTCTCTCTATTATTGCATCGCGTCGCCGCCGCCACCGCTGGGTGCGCCGAGTAGACCGATTAAAACGAGCAAAAACGAATAAAGGATCAGCAGGCGTGACGCTAAACGCGGGCCTCGTGTCCGTTCAGGCTGTGTACAGCACGTTGGCCCGGTTCACCAGAAAGTGCCCAGATCGTTCTGAGGAGCAGTGGCCCTTTTGACGTTGGCCCAGCCGGCTTATGTCGATCGCGCAGCACACGACGGCAACGGCGTTGTGCGGCATGCTAAAAGGATCTGGTGCGTTCAGGAGACTGATCGGATGGTTAAAGGCGTCAAAACGCTGTGGGAGGCAGTAGCTAGCTGAGTTATACTGTTTTTTAATTTGTTGAAAGGCCAAAGGTACATGCCACAAGTGGTTATACCTTTTTATTAATTTGCAGGGCCATGTGTTATATATATTTTTGTATATTTTAAGAAATATATATTTTGTTCTATCAGTTGTCAATGCATAAAACTACGGTGTGGGAAATTTCTGGTCTCCCAAGTGTCAAACGTCTAGATTTGCATCTTGACACATTTATAGTTGTCTTACCATCAAGTTGACACGATGATTTTGAATGTACCAAATTCATATTATTCCTTAGGAGGAGGGGGGGTGGGTGGGTGGGGGGTACTCCAACTATTGTCAAATCTTAAATTTGGCTCCGGACGCAAAAAAATCTTTGTCAATCAAGTATCAGAAACATCTAGATTTGGTATTTTGCCCCCATTGAAAGTGGTTTTGCATACATGGTAGCATAATCACCACGATTCTTTATTTTTTCACAAAGCAAGGGAAAGATGAGAAAATAGAACAATAAAAGTTTCAAACATTTGCTGAGCTATATATATTTATTTTAGGAATATCTTTGTCTATACAAAAAAAATGGTAATGAAGAGCTACAAAAAAAATTGGTCAAAAGGAACAAATTTGTGAACAATCTTTGATATTTCAAAATGTATTAAAACTAAGAGAATTTTAAATTTGAAGAATTAAATTGAGGGAAATAAATCTTTTGAATTTTATTAGATTACATGGTTCCTGAATATTTAAGATAATTATCCAATTTTAAAATTCATGAAATCTTACCTGATTTTTATTGTTTTTCCCAAAAAGTATTTTCATTTACCCATTTTATTCATGTTTTCTTCCAATTTTAAGACAACCAATGTTAGTACTCACCCGAAGGAAAAAAAAACTAATGTTAGTACTAGCAAGTCGCAATAACATTTTAATCTGCTTACTGAATACTTACACACATCATCTATATGTCATTCATATCTTATCTCTGTAGGCTTGTGCCAATCCCAGACTGGCCGAAACCATCACTTCCACAGGGAATAAACAAAACGACACGACAGCGATAGTTGCGGCGTGAAGAAGCAGAGTAGCAGCAGAGTGATGACTCGAGAAGCACCCGGTTTCCTGATAAACCAACGTCCGCGACCACTGTTTTGCTCCAGACCTCCCAGCCTCCCTCCGTCCCCCGTGTATATAACCTCGTCCCAGCCCCGCTCTCCCTCTCATCAACACAAGCATCAATCAGCCTTCATCTCAGTTCATTCACAGTCAGCCTTCATCTTCATCTCAGTCATCACCTACTTCAGAGTTTCATACCGCCAACACACAGAGAGATCATGGCGGGTGCGGCTAAGGCGTCTTGGATGGTGGCGATGAGCGTCGGCGCCGTGGAGGCGCTCAAGGATCAGGCCGGCCTCTGCCGCTGGAACTACGCCCTCAGATCCATCCACCGGGCAGCCAAGGCCCGGGCCAACGTCCGTGGCGGCGTCTCGCAGGGCGCCAAGCAGCTTCCGGCCTCTGCTGCGTCGGTGGTGGAGAGGCGGCGTTGGGAGAAGGCCGAGGAGGGGCTGAGGACGGTGATGTACCTCAGCTGTTGGGGACCAAATTAGCAGCTGCAACTTAGTGCTAGCTAGGTGTGTGTGTGTGTGTGTGCTTGCTGCAACAACCATGGCCTGAAACCACGGTGTAAAAGCTTGGTACTAGCTGGCTTCCCGTGGAATCCCCCATTGTAAAAACCACCATGATGATGATGACAAATTTCAGTTACTTCAGTTCATATTACTCTCCCTATCCGTTTGCCTTTTTGTTATCTTGATGAGAAATATGAATTGATGTTTTAATTTAGTTTCAGCCTACAGCTATTACCTTGTCTTTGAACCCGGCCTTTTGGTCGTATGTCATTACAACTTACAAGGACTTCATTTTTGCCGATCTGCTGAGCGACTGAGTTCATAGCCAACATCCTGTATTTCTACAGCCTGTGGCACACATGAAGGTGCCATCCGCAGGTATTGAAGTGACACGCATGGTAAATTCCCATATCTGTACTGAAGGTGTCATCAAGCAATCCATTTAGTTTCAGTTTTGCTCGTTGACCTGCCTCCAGTTACTTGGTTCGTCCACATTAAATACTAGTTAACTGATCCTTACCATCGGGAGGTTTTCTGATCAGAGCTATAGGAAGAGCCAAAAGGCAGGTCACACGTTGTCCTTTCTAAGTTTCCTAGGGTTAAGCAATGATTGGCTTTTCAACAAGAGGAATCCCCATACGTTTCGAGTACCACAAGTTTTTCTCTCTGAACCAGGCTAATCCCATTCCATTAACAACATGACGATAATATAACAGTGTCAGTACCAGCACAGTATCAGTGCCACAAGTTTCTTGGAAATAATCAAGATGTATTTATATCATTAATAATCAAGATTTTTGCCTGAGGTTGCACACATACATGACTCCGGTGTCTCCTCCATCAGACGCTTAGGGCATCTCCAGCCGTTGGCCCCCCAAGGGGCATCTAAAAGCGCCGTCTGGGGGTGAGCCGGCGTAAAAAATGGCCCTGGGGGCGAGTCGGTCCCCAGCCGTCGGCCCCCAGGCGCGTATTAAAAAAAAAGACCGTTCGGCGAAGTTATGATAAAAAGTAGTTAAATTTCGGCTAAACATGGCAAATTTCGACGAAATTCGCGCATTTTCGTTACATTAACCTAATCTAAAAAAGAAAGGGGCTGAAGTCGTCGCCGCCATCGTCGTCGTCGGCCTTCTCCTCCTTGACGCGGGCGCCCCTGCTGGACCCGGCGTCGCCATGGCGGACTGGCGGCGGCGCGTCGTCGTCGTCAGCGTCGCTGTCGCATAGGACGACGACCCCGTCTTCATCGCGGCCGCGTCGGCGCTCCTGGAAGCGGCGCAGGGCGGCGCGCTGGCGCTCCTTCACCTTCTCCCGGCGCGCCTTCTCCATCGCAATGGAGTCATGGCGCGCCCATTCTAGGGCTGCGTCGTCGTCGTCGAACTCCGCCTTCACCGGCGCCAGCCCCGGCTCCGTCTTCACCGGCGCCAGCCCCGGCTTCGTCTTTGGCTTGAAGAAGCGCGGAGGAGCCGACGAGGAGGAGGCGCGCCGGCCGCCCTCGTTGATGACGATGCCGGCGCTGCGAGTGCGCCAGCCGAGCGGCGACTCCACCGCGGGCTCGGCGTTGACGCCGAGCAGGGCCGGAGTGCCGGAGGAGTGCGATGAGGATCGGGAGGAGGGAGAGGAGGAGGAGGACCCGAACCTCCTTGGCGCCCATGGCCCGACTCGTCGGTGCTGCGCCGGGGGGTACGCCAACGGCGGGTCGTTGCCGCCCTCGAGGTACGTGAGAACGCCCTCGAGTGTGCAGCCGGGGACGCCTCACCAGAGGTGGCGCCCCTCGCTGTTCTGCCGGCCGCCGACCACCGGCGCGCCGTTGGTGGACGTCAATCGCTGCTGCTGGCGGCGCTCGAAATACGCCGCCCAGGCCGCGTGGTTGTCGGCGGCGTACTGGGGGAGGGAGAGTTGGGTGTCGGTGAGGGACGCGCGCACGATCTCGACCTCCTCGGCGAAGTACTTCGGCTTCGCCACGGCGTCGGGCAACGGGGGAATGGGCACTCCCCCGGCGCTGAGTCTCCACTCCGTTGGCCCGGCGCGCATGTCCGGCGGCGCCGGGATCTTCGCCTGGAACAGGAGTCAGGACTCCTATTCGCGGAGCGAACGGCGGCCGAAGCCGTTGGCCGCCGCCTTGTCTCCGGGGAAGCGTTCTGCCATGGCGACGGCGGGGCTGGGCGGGCTCGGGAGAGGTAGAGGGAGGGGCTGGGCGGCGGCGCTCGAGAGAGGCAGGGAGAGGGAGGGGCTGGACGGCGGCGAGGGGCGGGGCTGGTGTGGGCACAGGAGAGTGGAGGCCGCCGGCTTTTATAGCCGGGCCGCGCCCGTGTGTACGCGTGCGAGGGAGGGGAGGCGTCGGCGCGCCATCCCGTGAAGCGCCGCCCGTGAGGAATCAATGGCAAGGCTGACCGGCGGCAGCCGCCGGTCAGCCTTGCCATTGATTCCCCGCGGGAACCGAGGCCGTTGGGGGAAGACGAGGCGCCGAGTCGCTGACGCGGCTGGCCCGCGTCTTCTTCGCGCCAAAACAGCTCGCCCCGGCGCCCCCGTGCGCCCCCAGCGCGCCGGGTTCGGGCTGGGTCCGCCGGCGCTGTTTTCGGCTCAAGCCGACGAAAATCGGGCTCCTAGGGGCACGACTGGACCGTTTTTTCGGCGCCGGCACGAAAAAACCGCCTAGGAAGGCCTTTCTGGGGCGCGGGTGAAGATGCCCTTACACGAAGCTCACACGGCCCTGGTATGGCGGAAACCATGTCCTTCGGCATGTGCGTCACCCCTATCTACTCTTATCTCTCTGCCTTGTCTGATTGTAACAGACAAAACCATGGCCCACTGTACGGGAACGAGAGCGAGATCTGCGGCGCAAGCAAGCAAAAGCGAGCTCTCCTGGGAGAAGCACCCGGTTTCCTTGGAAAACCAGCGCCCGTGGCTGCCTGTTTTGCTCCGGCTCTCCCGTGTATATAACCCCGCCCCCCTCCCACTCTTGCTCCCATCAACACAAACCAGCCTCAATTCAGCGAATCAGCTCTGTGCTTTCAGTACCACAACTTCGCAAGTCCACTACTACTATACACTTGGATCACAATTCAGTATCCTCGCCAGCAGCGAAGCAAGAACAAGGAGGAGGAGAGATGGCTGCTCCGGCGAAGGCATCGTGGATGGTGGCCATGAGCGTGGGCGCCGTGGAGGCCCTCAAGGACCAAGCCGGGCTCTGCCGCTGGAACTATGCCCTCAAGTCCATCCACCGGGCAGCCAAGGCCAACGTCTGCGGCGGCATCTCGCAGGGCACCAAGCAGCTTCTGGCCTCCGCGTCGGCCGTGGCGGAGCGGCGGCGAGCGGAGAAGGCCGAGGAGGGGCTGAGGACCGTGATGTACCTCAGCTGCTGGGGCCCAAATTAGGAGTACTAGTAGCTTAGGGGTGCTGTGTTCGTTGCAGTTTGTGCTTATGTGACAACGCCATGATCGATTGTAAATACAGCACGATGATAATGATGAAAATTTCGGCTATGAGTTTATATATCACCCTCCCTGTCCATGTGCTTCTGTAACTATTTTGAAAGGCCCAGTGTTGATGTTTGTCAAGAGAGGAACAATGTTCAGAGTTGCACGGGGAGAGCAGCTCAGCAAAACGAAGCATACAGAAAACATAGGAACTTCAGCTGCATGCACCGAACAGCCAAACTCTGAAGAAAGGGTAGAACAGGGGAGTTGGATCTCAGCGATACACCCGGCTGCCCTCCAAGTGCAAGATTTCACATCTTCTTTGATCAAATTCGAACAACTCCAGGCCGCTGCAAGCGGCGGCCGTTAGAGATTATATCTTTGTGTGCTTTGATGGAGTCAGACCTGCTGGATGTGCTACTTGTGGCTCGAGTCGACCGGTTGTGCAGGCGACGAGATCATGGCGGACATGATCTGAATTTCTTTGCCCTGCACTATGCTCAAGGGACACGAGATCTAATTAAAGTGAGTCTGAACAGAGTGATGACGTTGATAACACAGTATTAATAAGTTAACTATGCGTGTTTTTTCTCTAATCAGAGTGAGACACACACGGTCCTCTTTCCAGTTGCAGGTGCGCCGTGTAGAATATGCGCACAATGCTTTTGCATGAGCAGACGGCCATGGTGTCAGGATCGGTCACAAAAAACAGACTCAGACTAACCCTTCGAACCGGTCTTAAAAACCGGGGATGACCAGCATCCCTATGTCTAGCTCAAATCGTAGGGTGGATATAGAGGCGTCCGTCACATCGGACCTGACACCCTAGCCCACTACAAATTACATCAAATCCATCCCCTCGGCCTACTTCATCCAGCTGCCCTCTCCTCTCTTCTTCCTCCTCGCGGCGGACGTCCGATGCCATCCTTGCTCCGCAGCCGTTACGAGCCACTACACTGCAAGCACCGACGCAGCAGTCCCTTGCCTCGTCCTTATCACCAGCGCCACCGCGGTATGTCTGGCCACTCTCGGGATGCCCTTGCGCTCTGTGTGTTCGACACATTGTCCGACCCGGTTTTTAATGATTTATTTGTAGGAAAAATGAATTCTGATGTTTCGGCAGACGAGGAGTATGGACCGACGGAACTTGATCAAATTATTCAAGATGAGTTCTTCGATTCATCAGATTCAGACAAAGAAGTGGACATGATCATGCTCATAAGCATGCAAGATAAAATGGACCGACGGTGAAGCACATTCTCAACTACAAGGGCTCAATCAAAGGGAGAAGAGGATCAGTCGGAATAAGGTCTCCGGAGCACGGCTAATGCAGAAGAACTACTTTTCTTCGAATCCAACTTTCCCACAATAGAAGTTCGCTGCAATGGAGGCCCTTAGAGATTCTCTAAAATGACACCGAGGTCAGTCTCCACCAAGGCAAAGTCGTTCTTTCTCTAAAATGTGTCTTTTTTATGAGAGTGAGAGCGATGACATATATAGTGAAGGACATCGCAACCCAAACTGGACAACCATCTATTTTGATTTTGGTCTAGGTCCATGGAATCAAAAGGAAAATTGACTTTCTGAGGAGAAGTACTTCCGAGAACACACGAGTTCCTTTCAAGCCATTAAGCAGATCAATGGTATCATAATGATTAATGTTCCCATAAACAATAGTGTTGCACAAATATACCGAGATATTTGATAGGCACGTACATTATAAAATTCTTATCGGGTTACTTGAAGATACTACTAAATCCTACACATAACACAACTACACATTTAAGTGGCACACAAATTAATCTATAATTGAAATGTTATTTTCATTTTCTCGAATATAGATGGAATTGACATCACCGAAATGTCCTGACAAATTTTTTAAATAACATAAGGTTTGCAGCAAAATGGATTTAGTTTACAACTATAGTAATTATAGTGGAAATATTGAAATGTAAAACAGTTAATTTTAAGTTAATATTTGTGGTTTATGTTGTTATGTATAGTAGAAAATATCGTTGATATTGTGTGGTAAAGATTACATCAATCAAAAAACAATTTATGCATAGTGAATAATATATATAAAGAACTAAAAATATTTAGTATAAATAGATGACAACCATAGTTGTAATAATAGAAAATAATAACTATAAACCTATTATGTTTTTCATGATTTTGATGTTATTTGCAAGTCTTTATCGACTTTGTTTACTCATGTCTTTCTGTCTTTTGCTGACAAAAGGGATCTTATGTATCTCTCATGGCTTATTCGAGCGGTGCGTCGGTCATTTTCGGCCGGTTCAAGAGAGTGTAGCTGCCAGCTTAATTTGCCCCGGATTCGTTAATTTGACAGGTTGTTATGCCAAAAAAAATGGAGTACTATGTTTGTATGGAATGATATTTAAAAAGTGTAAAACTTTCGTGTCAAAAGACGTTAATTTTTGTTTGTTTGTATAATTAGATTTTCAAAATTCAACATAGTATATCAAAATTGTTTTGAATCATAAAATATATGTTCGTGTATCTCACAAAAAGGATTTAATGATTATTATAATTGTTCACACAGAACATTTATGCTATCTGTTTATATTTCACCCAAATTCTTATGCTAGTTCACAAAACATGTCAATGTTGCTCACAAGGCTTGTGATGTTTATTTTAGAAAAATACTTGTGTTGATTGATTTAAATATGTTCATGAATCTTAAAAACTTGTTTGGTAGTTCACTAACAAATTTCTTTTGTCTCATAAATCTAATAACATACTGAACAATTTATTTGCTACATACATTAAACAAATAATGAACAGTATAGGAATATATTTAAAGAGAAAAAAGAATGGTTGTTTGTACTGGGCAATTGTTTTGTTCAAGAGAAGAAATTTATAACCCATAGTGAAAAAACTCGTTTCATGTTTTCATAAGTAAGGTGAAAAATAAGGGAAAATATATAAGAAAAAAATAAAACTATATAAAAAGAAGTGATAAAATCATGGAAGAATTTAAATAGTAAGAATGACAAAGAATAGAAAAAACCAATGAAAAGGAAAATCAATGAGTAGATGTATAGACGATACACCACACAACATGGCAAGGATGCACCGACGCCTCCATTTACAAGACCTCTTTCCCCCATCGCTCCATGGATCTCTTGGCCATCAACTCCTCATCGCATCTCTCTCCTATGCCGCCTCCAATGGACATCGATCCCTTCGGTGGCGAAGAGCTATGTGTTAGATCTTGCTTTTGTCGATTCAGAGTAGTCCATCTTTATCCTTCCTCAGCTACATGGTGAGATCACTTTCTTCGGAGAGTAGATGTGTTCCAACAGTTGCAGCTATGAATTTCAAAGATAGGTATTGAAGAAAGAGGGGCATGCGATATTTCAAATAACAACAATCAACAAAGAATGCTAGCATTAAATCTTGCCCTAAATGAGCGCAACAAATACTCCATAACTTAGAACACAACGGTGTAAGTCTACATATTTGACTACTACCTATGTACCAAAATGTAAGACGTTTTTTGGTTTTGCATAGGGCATAAAAAACGTCTTACATTTTGTTATGGAGGGAGTACTAGATGGACCAAACACATTTCTTGTGTGTTATATCAATGCAACACACTACGATATACATAATACATGTATAGTTATTTTTTGAAATTTTCTAAATATAGTCCTGTTTCTCAGTTGGGTGAGCCTTGCGATGTACCACACTCCAGTTAAAAATTATTAACCTTATGATGGAACAAAATACACTAGAAGTAACCAACATGTGCAATAACCAATTAAGCTATTCTTGCATCATATTTTATGTTGATGCATTAGTTACACTACATATAAGAGAAAGAGCAAGAATATAAAGAAGAACAAACAATAGAAATTAATATTCACATAGTTACTGGATAATAACTTGAATATCCATGAGTTACGGCGGGCCTTCCTTGGTTACGGCTGTATAGTGATTTGGGCTACATATATCGATTGAGTTCTTATGGAGCAATCCAGTAGAAATGGTTGGCTTTAGCATGGTTACTCTACGGTGCAGCTCCATCCCAAATTTGGTAAACACCAGTGCATAAGCGGATGAAACGTACCTCACAGAAGAACCTCCTTGACATCTTCAACCCATTTTATTGATCTACTTCTCTCAACATACCACTCAACCTTGGGAAACTCCATCTTGGGAGAGAGAGGGGGAGACGAGAAGATGATGGTATGAGTTAAAACAGCATGCTGTCAGCGTGCTTTGTCTGCCAAGTGTGAATGGTGTGGCAATGTTGTGGATGGGTTGGAGGTTCCAATTCTCATGTCAAAACCACTCAAATGTTTGATTTGGGTGTGGTGTGAATAATTAGGGCATAACCTGTGGTTTGTTAAAAAAGAACATAACTTGTGGTTCATGGAAAAAAATCAAAACATGTGGGCTATGGCTATGTATGATTTTAGCCGCAATTAAATTGAAATTACTTTGCTTATTTTTATATGTGAAATATAGTTATCTTTCTCTTATAATACTAATGTTTTGCAAGCACCTTGAGTAGAACATACACCACACTCAACTAACTATCATTGAAACTGCCATTTCTATGGCACCCGAGAAACAATTGTTACTAATTCAACCAAATTATATGCAACTTATGAGACATACAACTACTTGCTTCGCATGTAATAAAAATAATAATTGGCACTTATAACAAAGATTTTCTAAGTCGGCTTTGGCAATCACAATTTCGTAGTTTGTAAAGAACTTCATGCTGCCTCGAAAATGACATGACCAATGCAGAGGTTTAGGCATGCACATAATGCACCAACAAAAAATTCAAGCAACTGGCCACTTTTTAAAAAATCAACGAAATTTGCACGTGCTAAAAGAATGAAAATTATTAGAAAATTTGTTGATCTTATTTCCTTGATCTAAAGAAATTATATAAAAAGAACATATCAACTTTTTTTTGCGAG